CCCCCCTTAAAAAGAAAGCAAAAGCAGCAGCAGCTCTACCCAAGAGTAGAAGACAACGCTAAGTCATAATTGCTCCCTCTGCCCTTTGTTACGCATAGACAAGAACAGCCTCTTAAACCCCACTGTAACATAAGGGAGATTGCAACGGAAAAGGAGCTCAACTCCAGTTTCATGTGACTCACGACTATGATTCACGCCACTTCTTTCTCCTTTATGAGGCTTCTGATACCTCTGCCCTTGAAATAAAGCCCTCCCATTTCGGAAAGGTACGCTGCGCACTCCAAAAACGAGCAGTTCTCGACTCCGGAAGTCATCACTGATCCTTTCCAGAGGATTAAGTGCAATGTATTTGGGAGCAGAACCTCACCCAGCCATTACTTCTTAGTGCTTCAGATGATAATGGGCCTATTTTTAAATAGGTACGTATATACACACACACACACTCACTAATGAAGTGTGCCAGGAGGCTCTGTTTGTTTTGCAGATCAGGACACCACCCCCATAACCCATAGGATGCTTCCTTTATTTGACCACTTGCTTCACCTTACCTCTGCCCTGCTGACCTGCTCCTTTTCTCTTTTTTCCCCACTGTCTGCCAGGCAGGGAAAGCCCACAGACTGAGCGCCGAGGAGAGGGAGCAGCTGCTCCCAAATCTGCGAGCTGTGGGGTGGAACGAGCTGGAAGGGAGAGACGCCATCTACAAGGAGTTCCACTTCAAGGACTTCAATCGGGTATGAGCGTCGGTGCCGAGTTTTACAATAGGGGAAACCTGGTGCGCAGAGCGGGGAGTCCCATTTGCATGGCTCACGCATAGAAACCCCTTTCCGTTTTTCTTGAAATTTAATGGCTGAGCAAGGTAACACAATCAAGACACCAGAACGCTCAACCAGTACACAGTTTGTGTGGGCAAAGTTCTTCGAAAAGAGGAAAACCCATAGAAATCCCCCAAGACCCAGCACATACCAAGCCTTGCCTCTGACTGGTTTTCTAGAAGTATGGGGTATGTAATTATTGGTAACAGGCTGAGCGAAGAAAGAAAAAAAAAATATCCCAGGATAAGCTGTTCAAAACTAACTTTGCTTCTTCACCCACCGAGCAGGCCTTTGGCTTCATGACCAGAGTGGCTCTACAGGCAGAGAAACTGGATCACCACCCCGAGTGGTTCAATGTGTACAATAAGGTAAGAAACACGCACGTGGGGGCCACCAAGGCTCTTCAGAGAGCGGTTTTTTTGAATAAAACGGCACCAAGAGCAGCAGCAGCTCCTGTTCAGCTCAGTGGCATCTCTTCCTCCCTCAGATGCTGTTCCCTTTGTGTATCATAGATGGGCTGTGACTATCGCATACCACGTCCTCTCCTCCCCTCCTCCTTTTCTGGCCAGCTGAGCAGTAGCTGCTTGCAGGCCGCCACCAGGTTGCTTCTTTGAATTGCTACCAGGAGTGGCAGCAAAGTGAGAAAGGGCCTGGAGAAAGAGCTAGTTGAGAGGTGGCACAGCGGCTGCCGTGATCAAGGGTGGCAGGGCCTGCTTGCGGCCAGGACGAGCTGCAGGAAAGGTGAAAGTCACAGAGGTAGCAGCCACCAGAAAGGGCTGGGGAAACATCCTGGTGTGGGGATGGGCAGTGGAAGAGGGGCTCCCTGGGAACTGGGAGAAGGGTAGAGTCATCGCACCCACCAGCCTCCGGAGCTGGACGCAACCGGGCAAAATGCCAGAGCACAGCTCCCACCCTGAGAAATTTCACTAACAAGCCTGGAGAAAGTAATAACACTACCTGCTCCATCGGGTGATAACTGTCTGCAGCTCTGGGGGAACCCGTTCCTGTCCTTTCTGCCAGCAACACTTGGTCTGTCTGTCTGTCTGCCTGGTTCAGGTTCACATCACCTTGAGCACCCACGAGTGCGCAGGCTTATCCGAGCGAGACATCAATTTGGCCAGTTTCATAGAGCAGGTTGCAGCTTCTCTATCCTGACTAGAGAGGAACACAAAGTTCACATCAACGCCTCGCGTCTCGCCCAGAGCCTTCTCCCCGCTCCATGCTAGCTGCTGGACCCAAACAGTGTACGCCATCCAAACCCCCCACCGCAGCTCGGCGTTTCCCTGGATGGAGGCACTTCTCCTGCACTGGGAAGGAAGCCTCTACTGCTTTGTGTACCACCACCTCTGATCTTGCCACTTCCGTTTTCAATCCCGTCTTTATCTGCGTCTGCAAATTGCTGAACCCGTGGTCCTTTCGGTAGGCATGCCTTCTACCAGAAGGAGCAATGTTACACGACTGCACGAGCCCATCTTTTCACAGCTTGACCCCATCCAGGCACTGTGCTCTTGCTTCTTAGCTATGAGAATATGCTCTACCACCTGAATTTAAGGTGGCTTGTGCCCTCTGGTTATTACTGTAACCCTTTCTCAAGCAGTATTAAAAGCGGGCATGTGATCTCATCCCTATTGTAACGGGCCTTTTAGTAGAGAACCACATGAAAATGTTTACAATAAAGTTCCCAGTTAACCTGACGTCAGCTTGGCAGGAGGCTTCTTTGTCAGAATTACTGCAACCGGTTTTTCCAAGCCAGGCACCGGCCTGGCTCCTCTCTCTCCAGAAGGTGTTTCTGCCATGGGAAAGCTTCTCCACGAAGCAGCACGGAGAAACAGCACGTGCCTTCGCAGGCCTGCGCCTCACAGGGAAGAGGGTCTGAAAGAGAACCAGAGTACTGAAGCACTTTCCAAAAAAGCCAGAGCAGATCTGGCAACAACTGTTTTTAAAGAGGCACAACTATCATACCTAAGGCAAAAAACACAGGCAAGGGACAACCAGAAGGCATAAAAGCAGGCCAGATTGAGACCAGAAGCTGCTTAAGTGGGGTACCTCTCAGACGAGGTCCTGAATGGATTTGGTGCTGCAAGATCTTCGCTCCAGCAACACAGTAACTTGGCATTAACATGCAGGTGAGTCTGCGCTCCAATCACTGCTTTTCTGTTAGCAGGAATTCCAGGAAAATACTACAGACTCCCGATTCAGGATAAGGGGTTTTTAAAACATTCCAGGAAAATACTACAGACTCCCGATTCAGGATAAGGGGTTTTTAAAACATTCCAGGAAAATACTACAGACTCCCGATTCAGGATAAGGGGTTTTTAAAACATTCCAGGAAAATACTACAGACTCCCGATTCAGGATAAGGGGTTTTTTGTTTGCTTGGTTTTGGTTGTGTTTTTTTTTTTTTTTTTAAAAACCCTCCAGGTTCTATAAAGTATTAAAAGAAAATCCATAGCTCTTAAATGCAACACTTTCAGCATCCTTGACCATCACCCGCAAGGCATAGTCAGGGACACCACTTTTATCTCGACAGAATGACAGAGCAGCTCCCAGGTAGAGCTCGTAAGATTCATAAAGTATTCTCCAAACCACAGACCAGGCTGCTCGTGAGCACAGCCAGGCGTGATAGGTCCCCATCCATTGAGTAAGTGTTAAAACAGAGGAGTTCAACAAGCCTATAGAGCTAAGTGTACCATTTTAATACACACCAGGCCTTCTTTCACCATCTCTTCAGTTATGTCAGCCTACAGCTTTACACAGTGGTAGACTAGAGTGATACAGATTATCGTCATCAGATGAACTCTTGTCCCAGAAGTTCATTAAATACACACTGACCATTTTTGAAGGGCAAGACAGCGTGCTGTACGCAACCCTTACACCCCCTACCCTCCCCCCCACAAATCATCAGAAAAGTGCAGATGAAATCCATGGCATGAAGACAGACATCTCTCCTCAGTCCATCCCACTGGATAGTCTTCAGTCTGGTACCTACGAGCACCCAGCTCCCTTGGGAGCGCTTTGTACAAAAAATAACTTTAACGTCCCACTTGCTAAACCTAACCAGTCAGAAATCTTACAGGAATTAACAGTTGGGAAGTTCCCTCCAAGTCTAAAGTACCATCCAGTTTCAGGTCATAATCCAGCCCACAGATTTTTTTCTTCCCTTTTCCCCCCCCCCCCCCTTTTCTTTTAAACTACACAGCCTATCAATCTCATCGTTGTTCTAAAACCATGTGGCATGATAAAGGTGATGCAGATTACATATGAGATGACAAGGATGAACAAAACTACACACCAGTAGATGACAGTGCTCTTTCTCCTGACCACAAGAAGATTACATTTACAGTATAAAACAAAAACACATAAAACAATTAAACCCACAGATATTACTAGCAGTTCGTGAAGCCCAGAATGGAGTACATTGACTTACAAATAACATCTTCAAATACCCAGAACAGAGTACATTGACTTACAAATAACATCTTCAAATACATCCAAAAAAGTGAAAGGGAGTACTGATCCCTTAGATCCATCTACTTCCTTGGAGGAGAACACAAGTGGGGAAGGGGAAGGCATTTCCTCACCCCTACCCCAATCTGTCCCCACTTCTTTTAAAGCAGAAACAGAGTACTTCCCTTCTTTGTTTTCCAAATCGTGGCTCAAGGACAACCATCACAGCAGCCAGATACTGAAGACTCACTCTCCAAAGCACAGAAAACTCTTGAGAGATGCACTTAATAGTCACATTGGCAAGATGTTAACAGAATAAACAGCTCCAACACAAATGCTGACCTCCAGAGCCCACACCACCATCAAGAGAGCATCAGGCAACTTAAATGCGCTGCTTTCAAAAGGGCTCAGAGACATGCATACTGTCATCCGTTTAACATTGCCAAAATACAACGTCTCACGGCAACGAAGAACAAACCTGTTAAAAAGCAAATACTCCTCCTCACAGACATTGGGCCAAGGCTATGCTTGTTTTTGCAGTGGCTAAGTAACCCTCTCATTCAGTCTAATTATCGTGCAAGTGGGTGCTTCAGCTATGTTAAGCCAGTGAGGGTCAGTTTAGGGATAACCAGTCCAGTACCGCAGAGAGATGCCTTCAGATGTCCCGCACAGGACCGCGCACTCCTGGCGTGCAGTCTTCCCCCAAGCGTTGCACAGCAATCCCATCCCTTGGGCAACCCGGCCCGTGAAACTCTCCGTAGCACGCAAAAAAAGCTGGGAAGAAACGCACGGGAAAGCCCTGCAGGAATAACCCCACCACCGTTCCACAACTCAAGTGATTCTGGTTTGTCCTTAAGGCCGCCACTGCCTCACAAGTTGCGCTGGTAAAACTCTCTCACGGTAAAAATAGTGGAGAAAAATAGGAAGGGTGGGGGGCCATGCAGCCAAGGCTCAAATACCCTCAACTTGGTGCACCCTATCACTCAGCCTTTCAGCACTATACCAGCATCTCTGTAACGCGGTGAAGGGACTTGGCTCAATACAACTACTATCCTACCTTATGGGCAAGCATACTTCACCTAAGGTCAGTCTGCCCTTGAGGTTTTTTCAATATAGTACCGTATGGAAATGACTGCAGCGAGCGTTGCAGTCGAGAGCTGAGCCCTCAAACTCTCCCTGGCGTCCCACAAAAAGCCAGGGAAGCGTCAAGGCACCATGGTGAATGCCCTTTTGAGAATGTGCCCTAAAGGAATCAGTGCAAAGAGCAGACAGAGATTGCTACTTTCTATTACAAAAGTCACCTTTTCATACTAAAAGATTATGGTAAAAAAAAAAAGTCAACTTTGGTGCCATACGTTTGCATACAAGCCCGTAGCCATAACACACACCAGGGCTCGACTGACTCCACTACAGCATTGTGAGATAGCGCAAAACCTTCAAGTTACCATCAGTGAAATCACCGTTTTGCACATCCCTCCAGAACTGTGCACAGTACAACAGCAATCTAGGTGGCAAACACAGGTGTTCTGCAAGAGGCAGGGAAGCAAAACAGATACCACGTATCTACAATTCGGAGTACCATCCAGCTCCTCTCCTGCACCACCCACTTGGTTTCTATTTCTGTTGCTATTCAAATAAGAGATTCCAGAAGAGGATTTGGCAGGTTTTTTTTTTTCCCCCCTCTCCTCTAACAGATATCGATTGCAGTCTGAGACCTCCAGGAGGGAATTTTGAAGAGTATGTGACCATCTTTCCTTTGCCAATTTATCAACCCTGCATTACACTGATACAAGGCTCCTAGCACAGTCTGTTAAATGCATTAGCTTGCAGGAACACTCAGAAGAAAACAAAACTTTCAATTTATTTTCTACCTTCAACTCCTGGGAAGCTCGAAGCTTTGGAAAACATCATCAGAACTGGAATATATCCCTTGGCTAGACATTGGCCAAATACAAGGTCTGAGGAGAAGAAACAGTGAGGAATTAAGTGACATTTAGGATACCTGAGGAATTTGGGAGTTGTGGAATGGACATTCATTTCACCATCAGTAATCCTGATGAAAACGGGCAGGGGGAAGGGAAGAAAAGCCCCACAATTAAAGTTGGGCACGAAAATAACGCAGATTTCAGAGCAGACACAGGTGGGGAAGGAAGTTTCCAAGACCAAGCTGCCTTCGGATCTGCACTTGTGGGAACTAAGGCTTACTGCAATCTCTTCCTCAGAACACCTTTAGAGCCACCCCAGTGCTTGCTGGAAAGACACCGATTGCAGCACTGCAGTCAGCGGTGGCCGGGAGAGCCGTTCATGTGCTTTTCGCTGCAAGGAACATCCGTGCTGTAGAGGCCGTCCAGGTACGCCTGAGAAATCTCCGCTACCAAGCTCCGGTCCGGAATGGACTGGGCCATTCCATAGATGGCTCCCTAAGGGGAGAGGAAGGGAGCGTTACTACCATCAGGGAAACACGCTTCGACGTACGCAACCCTCTCACCCCGAACACACCCTTGCTATCGCTGGCTCCTTACCATGCCTGTGGTCTTGGCATTGACATCCTTCATGATCTCGCCAACGCTGTCTTTGACATCTTTCAAGAACTGTTCGGCGACGCCCGGCTTCGTGTGCAACTGCGTAATGCAAAGGTGAATGCTGGGCAGGCAGGGGAGAAGGGAGAGATTAGCCACACCACCTACGCACAGCTCCACATTCGCAGAGCAAACAACAGCATCTGAGTCCTTTCCTGGCCAGTGACAGCTGTGTATCTCCTTAAAATACCATTTCAGAGGTATAAAGGGAGCTCCGCTACCTTCCAAATAAAGGCACTCCCTGCATAATACTTGCTATAACCAAGCTCTTATGTTTTCTTCCAAGCTCTTCTTTTGCAAAATGCCAAATCTACCTTCCTCCCCAACATCACCATACACAGTTAAAAGCCTGTGACTGCCTCACCTCACCCCAGTTGCATCTGGTTAGAAAGATGCAGCTGCATGGAAGCACGCTTCGCTCCCAGGGACGTTTGCCATAATTTCCCTCCCCTTCCTCTCCAGCTGAGGCTTGCTGTCAGCCTGGGCGCGTCGGCCACCCCCGGCACGGGAGTCAGCACCGACCAGAAGGGACGAGGCTACTCACACCTCTTGAGCTACTGCTTCAAGCTCTCTAGGCTCCTCTTCATGCTAACTGCAAGTCTAAAACATTTTTTCAGCGCACCTACAACTTAAAAGGTTTGCTCTTTTCACACACAGGAACACAACTTCTACCCGCTCAAGGAAAATCCTTGACAAACATTCATTTCACATCAGGCTGGAAAGATCACTGAAAACAATCAAGCCTTCACTGTTCTCTCAATTACCTTCCTGTTCAGCGCACAGGAGGAAGATACAAAAAAATCTACAAAACCTCAGTTAGCTAGCACAAGATAGAGTCCTGGCTATTTGTATTTTTCTGCTTGTATAATACAGAGGTAAAGAGAGAGAAATTCTCAGATATGCCCTCTGCCAGGCTCATTAAAATTACTACTGCCTCATCTGCACTGCAGTAACCATTCTGTATCAGCAATTACAAAGGCAATTGCTTCTCCACAGAGGAAAAGCCTACGTATAATTTATCAGATATGGACAACACCACTCAGCAAATCAAGAGAGCTACGTGCTCCAAAGACGACCATCTCGCCTAGTCCAGACCACGCGCGTCGCTCCGCTGGTCTACAACAACGGCTCCCCCCTGTGACCACAAACTCACCTTGATGGGAACTGCAGGACATTCAAATTCCATCCTTTCGCAGCTAGCAAATTAGATAATCGATAAATGTCAAAAACGTCCGAACCGATGGAGAGGACAGACACCTCAGGTTTCCCAAAAATGAAGATGCTGTCAATTTTTCTCAACCTTGAAACAATATTAAAGAGAAAAGAAGCGACTGGTCAGGGTTACAGCAGAAAGAGGTCAGCCATTCTGCCCATCTATCTGGGGCCTCAGAGAAAAGATACATACGGAGGGGGACAGAGCACAGCACCTTCCAATCAAAAAGCATGCAACCGGCCCAGGCCGTTAGGACTTGCAAGAGGACTCGGGTGATTAGAAGTCCTAAGTCAAGTACGCTCAGGAAGAAACGGAAAGAAAGGAGGAGACAGAGAAGCAAAGAGCACTGGTCCCTCAGATCACACAGCAAGGCAGGCACCCTAACAAGGGCAATTATAACCCCTTACTCCAGCAGCTGGAGTAAGTCCTTCCTGATTCCCCCTCGGCCATGACCGATGCAGAAGAAACTCCTGAAGCGAGGCCAGCTAAATAAAGATGCCTGAACCCCTCCTCTCTGTGCCCTTCAACTGCCTGAGGGAGGGCAGTACCTTAGGCATAAACGAAGCATCTTCTCCCCCAGTTTCCCTCCCAGTGGATCCCCACCCAGCGGCTAACGTGCTCCAGCTTCTCCAGGGAAAAAAGGGTGCAAGAGAAACCAAAACAGTTTGGGAGAGGGAGCCCCGAACGGGGCTAAAGAGTACAATCAGAAAGCTAAGTCACGGACATACTCCGATTCGAGGAAGCGAGCCGTTTTAATGATCCTTTTCGTCGCCTCAACGTAGCCAGACTCCCCCATGTGCATCAGCGTCGCCCAGCACGCGGCGATGATCCCACCAGCCCGGGAGCCCGCCATGGTGGGGGAGGCGTATATGCCCCCTTGCCAGTCGGGCGCTACGAAGAACTGGTAGCTCCTGTACTTCTTGTCGCTGTACAGCACCACAGAGGAACCCTTGGGAGCGTAGCCGTACTGCAAGAGGCACATGAAGCATTACAAAGTGGCAAGAGGACGCAGGAACGCTTTCAAACGCTTATCGCGCGCGGTCACCACGATCCCATATGCCCGCACCTTGACGCGCTGCACAAAGCATCCGTACAGGGCAGTCCTTACCCTGGCACTCCTCCACAGGGCAGACCAGCTACACCACATCAGGACTTGGCACAAGTCGTCCCACCTCGCTGTGTCAGGACCTATGCCCTGAAGCAGGCTGAGGACCTGCTTTTCCCTGCACACAGCTATGTACCTGCTTCATATTCTAACTATTGAATTCATGAACTCAGAAAAGACAAACTTAATTACTAAAGATTAATTTCTTAGAAGCAAGGGAAAACTCTGAGGGGAGCCTTAACACAAAACCTGCCACGCGATGAAGACTTGAACAAAGCAGCATTTCCTCTTCATTTAAGTTTAATGCCTCCCTACATACCATGGCTGAAGCAAATGAACTCGTCTTTACCTCAAGTATACCCCCGAAAAGGCACCTCTCCTGCCCTCCAGCAGCAGGGCTGCAGCACTCCTGACTGCTCTGGGACTTGAGTCCCTACAACGAGGGAAGTTAACGCCAGTGGGTCTCCACCACCCCTGGACAAACCCCTGCTCCAGGTATCTGACACCACCTTCCCATCACAAAACACAAAGTCTGTGAATAGTTGCAGCCACTGCCCACAGTTCAAGTCACCTTTCCACGCCCCCCCCCCGCCAGCCACGGGCCATTGTTTCTGTTTAACATCTGCTCCAATCCCCCACAGGCCCATGGTAGCCAAGCCCTGAAAAAGCAATGCAAAGTGTACTAGAAATGCCTGAAAACAGGGATGGCATTGAGAATGGCTCCCCAAAAACGAAAGCATTGAAAGAGCTTTCCAGCCCCGGCTCACCTTGTGGGTATCAGCAGAAATGCTGGTCACACCTTTCACGCGGAAGTCAAAGGGACGCTTTAGAGGGAACCCTGCCTTCTCCATGAAAGCAATGAGAAAACCACCCAGGCAGGCGTCCACGTGGAAGGGGATTTTGTACTCCACTGCAAGCTGCATGCAAACAAGAGGTTCTGGTGAGTAATGCACAGCCAGGGAGGACAATGATGTGGTTGGAGGTAACCAAACTCCAGTCACCAAAAATGCTCCGTATTTCACACGTGGATGTTTTCCGGACCCTTCTGGAACATCATGCCATTCTCAAGCTGTCAAGCACTGCAAGATCTGGAAAGGCTACTTGTAGGATGACTCCTCCTACCACTTTCCATACATTTAGGGATTAACAGTGAGAGGAAAAAACAACACTGTATTTTGGCAGTTTACTGTATTTGCCAAAGAGATGGGACAACTCGGTCTGAAAGCCGGTATCCAAAATACACTACAAGAACGTGGTCCAAAGGAAAAGAAGATCAGATGCCCTGACTGGTTGCATACAAAACAAACAACAGGTGCACGGAGAAAACAAGACAAAAACAAAAAAACAAAAAAAAGAACAAAAAACCCAAGAGGCCTGCTTCAAAAATGAGATCCTGGTCCTTTCATTCCTCCTCCCTCCACATATTCCTAAAGACTTCTCCACTGAGCTTGCTGCAACCAGTAGGCCCTACACCTAAGCCTTTTACCAGGTGGACTATTCTGCTGTTATTTCCTTTCGGGCGTCAAAAGAACGAGCTTGCCTTTTGCTTGGTGCCGCAATGGAGCGGAGCTCCATTGCACAATACATACTGTGCACAATACATACTGTTACAGCAGAAGTTTACGGCACTGACTTCAGAGACAAAACACGCACTAAAGGTGCGCCCGTGCCACTCCGCCTTGCTCGGACACATTGCACGCAGTGGCCCAAGTTTAAATCCGGCCTCACGCAGCCAGCTTTATGACAACGTCCAGAGTTAACTTCAGATATTTAAAGCCCACCCTCCCACGGCAGTGGGTTATACCAGTTTTACTGCTATAGCTCCCAGAAGCCATGGGCGTGGGTGGAAGGGGTCCTACCTTGGCCACCTCTTCAATGGGGTCCATAACTCCATGCGGGAACTGGGGAGCAGAACAGACCAACACAGCGGTGTTCTTCGAAATAGCTCTCCTCATTGCCTGAAGATTTAAAGAGAGAAGATGCTCACACTCCCTTACCAAGTTCCACCCTGCCAAAAAAGATAAAAAATGAAAACATGCAGCTTCTGGTCTTAAAAATAAGCCAGCCCAAAAGAGCCCATAGAAACCAACACAATGAGCTGTAAGCATCAACAGGCATCAACTCAGTCATTTAACTCGTCCACTTGGAAGCGCTGGAACATGTTGTTCACCCTCATGTGAAACCTGTAGCTGTCTCTGAGATACATAAATTATTTGATCCTAAATGAATGACACGGGACAAAGGGATGGTTTACATCCAATTATTTCAAATAAGACTTTATATGCAGTGAGGGGCATTTATTCTTATGTTTTCTTCCTTCTTTCCAGGAAACACAGCCCACCTCTCTGTATCTATCGACTTAGTACCCTGCCAGGTAGATGCCGGCTATTTCCTGTACACTGTTAGTTTCCCACACAGAGAGCGTAGCGCTGCCTAAAGCGATACCTGAACGTCCACTTCCATATTCTTGGTCAACGGGACGTGAATGATCTTCAGCCCAAAGTAGTGTGCTGCTTTGTCAAACGCTGCATGAGCGCTCTTCGGGACCAACCTAGGAAAGGAGCAGATCCCAAACTTCAACCCAGGTTGCACCTAAGCCTTAAGCTGAACAGGAGGGGAAAGAGCAAAAACGCAACCTGTAGGCGTTTTTGAGCTTCCTCCTTTATAGACGGGTTAAAAACAGGCCAATGCCAAAAGTCATACAGACTGACAGAAAAGTTGGGGAAAACAGGCTTTGGGGCGCAAGAGAGGCCATGTGCTATTCTGAATTAAAACAAGGGTCACTCAATCTTCAAGGACACCGAGTAAACCTATTAAAAGTAATTCTATTCCGCTACATGGTTTTCTGTCTGTCAACCCGGAAACATAGTTCCTGTTTAAAAAAAAAATAAAAAAATAAAAAAGTTAATTCCTTGCCATAACAGACAATGTTGCACGGTCTCCAAAGAACCACCCTCTCCGAGAAGGGCACATCACAGCACAAAACAGAACGAACAGTATAAACGCACGAACCCAACGCTTGCTCTCTCCTATCTCCAATGGCAGTGGCTGGACTACCGAAAAAAGGCATTTGCTTTGTTTTCTGTGGCATCCTATCCTTATCAGGGCCTTTAATAGCGTGCAGAAACATTAGAAAGGGAAGGAAAAAAAAAGGCACAGTAATTCAGCAGATGAGCCCCACAGTGTTTCATCTCTCATGTTCTCCTCTCGTGAGCAATTACCCAGAGAAACAATCCTGAGGTGCAGCTTAGAAAAAAGATGCACATCAGAGAGAGCAAATCCTACATTAGCAGCCTAATGATTAGCACAGATTCTCATTACAGTCCCAATCAGCCCTGACTTTAGTCCTCGAGTTTTCAGGCTTAAACGTCTTTGATCGGAATAAATTAACACACTTATGCACTTCAAAGTGCCTTGCAATCTGTGCTGAAGAGGGGCCCAAAGCCGAGATGAGCAGGCTTTTCCAGAGCAGTGCAGAAACACTGCCAAAATACATCTGCACGGCATGGCTACGACAGCAACGTAGGCTGCGTAAAGCTTCCTATGCTTTTGCTCCGTTTCTCTGCATCCACGCTTCTCTCCTGCGCTCAGTCCTTCAGGCGCAGAAGGGATGGTAAAGAGCTACAAATCGAAGGAAGACTGAGGTCAAGCAGCCACCTCTCCTCAAAGGAGCAATTAAGTCGCAAGAGCCTCCAAAGCGGAGGTATTGCCTACATTTCTGGATGTTTGACTCCCCTCTCGTACGCCAAGTCTCGGTACGCCTTGCAGGCCATCAGAATGCTCTCGGTCCCCCCAGACGTCATCTGTTGCAAAGAAAAGAAACAAGAAAGTAAATAAATAAATACACAAGAAAATCACCTGCATGGGTGTTACAGAAGAGAAGGGCAAAAAAAGGGATGCTGCCACAGCACCTCTGCCCAGAAATGTTTCAGAGGCCAGAGATGCACAGGACAACTCAGGCTTGCAAGGGCAGCAGAACCCATCGAACAGTTCAAGGTAGCTTTCTAACGTTCACGTTGAAAGCGCACCATTCAGGTAAGCACTGGCTCTGCTATTTAAAGGGGAAAAGCCACCCAAAACCCTGGCAAGAGAGGAACGGACTGCGCAGTCGCTGGCAGTACTGGCAGGGATGACCGCACCTCACGAAAACACAAGTACATACTTAGCTCTTGATTACCTGGGGATCGTTCTTCTGGCTTACAGATTAATTACGCCACGTACACGGAAACAACAAAGTTGATTCAGTACCAAGATAGCTCAGGTATGGTGGAGTTTATTAGGTCTGGAGCTCTGCCAGGTTGAGGCCCGGAGCCAGCTCGGGGCTGGCACTGCTCCGCGGCCAAGGAGCCTTCCTGAGCTTGGACAGCGGCGAGGACGGGGCTCTCTCCCACCCCACGTCTGCAGAGGCCAGCCAAGGTCTGGCCAATACCGGGCTGGAACCAGTAGGACCCAAAGGATCCCAAAAATTTTACACCACAAGGGATTTCTGCCGTACAAGCCCCTCAGTCTCTGTACGGCTCACCACCCACACCGCCCCAGCCCTTACCACCCTGAGCGCAGCTGAGCAATGGGTTTTGCATCAGGAGACAGGAAGAGGAACGTACGGGTGTGCACACACACCAGCTGCTGGAGCACGTGTACTATTGCATACCGGAGCTCAAGAGCTTTTAAAAACAAATGTATTGAAGCCCTCTACAGGAAGACAGCCATAGAAAGGAAGGCCGACCAAGGGGAGGATTGTTCCTCCTCAGCCAGCCTTTGTGAGCTCTGAGGTGCAAGGGACAGAAGAGAGCGTGCGCAAACCTTTCAAAGTCAAGTTTCACCCTAATAAAACCTGGGGCTGTTTCTTGCAGCAGGACTCGTGCTCTGCGTGAAAGTCAGCGCCAATGCCAAGCGAGCTGTAACTTGAGGAGCGCTGGTGCGTGGCCCTGGTGCACATAGTTCAGGTCAAAGCTATACACATTGCTTAGGGAAGACTCACTTTTCATCTCCTCGGGTGCTAGACTGACTGTCACTTCCCCTTTTTTACCCCCCTCCTCCCCCCCACCAGAAGCATAAAAGGGCACAGTTGCATAGGCACGTCTTACGTTATCTGCTAGTCTGGGTTTTGGGTTTTCCCCAGCTGACACTGCTGCAAAACCCCAAAACACGAAGGGCGACTGCGTGACTGTGACAAACATAAGTACAGAGACGAGGTGGGGGGGGCCAAGCCAGCAGCAGCTGCTGCCGCGGGCATCGTGGAAGCAACTGTCTCACCACAGACAAACAAGTCTTGCTTTTATGTACTTTGGAAAGCAGCAGCTGTTGCAGGGAAGAAAAAAAAAATCCTAACAGAGCCTCACACTGGAAGAAGAAAAAAAGAATCATTGCGCCTATTGTGAAGCAAATGGATGGTAGCAGGAACACAATGTCCCGAGTATTTTATAGGCAGTGCCATTCACTTCTCAACCCTTCTCATGAAAAAAACTTGTTAGCTATTATTTGGGGGGAGAAAACAACTGGCATCATGCCAACTTCCCTTCCTACTGCAGGGTGGTGGAACAGGAACGGAATTATTTCGCCCTTACAGCACTGCAGCGATTGCGAAAACGTTGCTGGGCACGATGTTGAGATCTTGGACAGATGTTACTGAACACTAAGTAAGTTATGGCAGCAGGCCCTGCTACTTGTTGAATAAGCAGACGCTTACCTCTACCTTCATCTAATTCGCTCTTCAAAGAGCAGCCCTGGGAACAGCCTTATGCCTGCGCCCATCTTTCCACCGAAGCGCCAATACCTCACCCTCATATATGAGACCTTCCTTCAAAATCTGGCTTGCAAAGTTGCTGAAGTTGAGCCACGCGCACCTTTTGGGAGGTCAAAGTCAAGATTATTCACTGTTTGATTGTAGAGGCAGCTTAAGGGCAGCTCCGCTTCCCTGAGCGCACTCCACCACGGATCCCACCACACACCGACACGGGCACGCAGGCGTCCACGCGGGTGGCTCGCTCAGGCAGCGGATCCGGCTGCAAAACCCACTCCAAAAGCCTGCTTCCAGCCAAACCAGCTTCCTAAATCGGCCCCCGGGCTGCACGTCAACCCTGGCACGAGCCCAAGCCAGGGAAACGCGACAGCCCGGCTTGCTCTGGCGCGGCGACTTCAGCGCGGATGGAGTTACAACAGCCTGCTGGCCTGCGCGCTTTCCACCTGCAGAGGGAGTCCGCTCCGGCTCGGGAGGCTCCAGCAGCTCAGCTAGACAGCAAACCTACGCTACGACCCTCCAGGCCTGAATCACCATCACAGGACACAACTTCCCCGCCAGCCAGCCGGCGGTGATTCAGCACCGGCCAACGCCAGGCATAAATATTTCTCGCTCTCCTTTAATTTGAAGTCCACAGGGCTGGAAACAGGCATTGTTTTAAGCAGCTTCCCAACTGGGCGCTATCTGCAAAAGCCAGAAGCGGCATGGGGAAGAGGTAAACAAGCATGCTTTTCTGCTCCCGATTTGTTTGTTTTTGCAAATAGGAGGGGAGAGAAGCAAGCACAGGGGAAGAAAAATATTCCTCCTGCCTCCTGAAATGGATACACCCGTTCCATTGCTTGCTCCCTCCAAATCCCAATTCTCTGCAACCTCAACATGACAGCAGCAAGGAGAGGTGCAGTCCCTATCACGTGAGTCTCTGGTGAGGCCACTTTCGTGTTGCTGCCAAACTGCCACACACCTCGCATAGTTAGGGGTCGCTAAAATTTTGCTTGCACTTCCCCCCCACCCCCCACCCCATAGGGAATATCTCCATCCAGGCCCGGGAGACCAAGCTGACCAAAAGTTTCTCTGAACTACCCTATGAATAAGATCAGTAAACCGCAACTCATTTCTGAGATAGCATGAGAGCAAAAATACACCATGATCCACTGAACGGTCATAACATAGACGCAGGCGGACCTAAAACCCCTGTGAACCCGGGGGTTGTAAATGCCACAGTTCTCTCTCTCAAGATGACCCGCTTATCACGGCAGATAAAGCCTGAAAGAGCTGCAGGAGGGCAAGTCGGAGTTTAAGCCTCCCAGGATGCAGCATTCATATTTCACTTTTAGATTTCAAAGCGGCAACTAGCTACATGACAGAGTTGGGAAGGCCCAAAACACGGAAGGAAGGGACAAAAGCCAACTTCTTCAGGGCGTTTAGGTTTCCATCGTCTTCTGATTTTGTGTCCTCTATTCTGTCCTCTGCTGCAGAACAAGTGCAAACAAGAATCGAGAGAGACAAATGGATGTCAAACATATACATACACAAAGACAACTTTCCTCTGCACTAAACCTGAGGTTACCTTTTCTTCTTAAAGTTCACAAACACTAATCATGTAAAAAATAACAACTATTGAAGTTTGCAGAAAAACAGTGACTTCTCAAATTACAGGGGAAATCCTCAGAGCCGGCACTGCAAAACAGAGCTCGCGAATAGGAACAAAAGTCCACATGAGCCAAAACCAACCTTCTATGTACTCAGCTTAATTAGTCCCTCCAAATCATGGAAAGGATGTTGTCAGAATCTCATGGGAGCCAAAAATCACCAATTCCTGTCTCTTCGCTCCTGCATAACATGACTAAACGTAAGAATAAAAGCAGCAATTAGTGAGAAATAGAAACCATCTCTCCACTCCTGAAAATGATTTTTTTTTAACATGGCTTAAGAACCTGGAAGATCTTTTAGTGCTTTTTAAGGTAAGAGGCATGCCTGAACAACCCACAAGGGAAGTGTCAGTATTTTTGTGCTCATGCTTAAACTAAGAAGAATTGTAGCCCCCATGCCTCAAAAAAAGGCAACTTCTGTAAATCATGAAAGCTACTCTATCTAATTTAAAATTCAGAAAGCTAAGACACCACCATTTCTTTTAACATTTATCTAATGCATCAGCATGAGAGCACAAACTGGACTGCTCTCCACAGATCCTTCTTTAAAAGATGTCCACGCGACCCAGGGGCAGAACCGTGCACACCCGTGGTCTCCCAGAAGCCCTGGGAACAGCACAGATGAGGTACTGTGCTGCTTCTGCCAGGCTGAGTAGCACAGAGTGTTAGCCCAAGAAAGTGCCTTTCTGCAACACACCATGGAAATCGGGGCACAAAGGAAGCGAATTTGCCTCCCGGGGAAGCAGAGGCAAACACAAAACTGTGGTTTTTCCACCTAGCACAGCCATGGATGGACAAGCAGAAACACCAACAAACTCATCTACCTTCAGGGACCATCACCGGACACCAGCAAAATTGGACACACAGTCCCAGGTGCCTGAATCACATTAGTAAACCCCCTGGACAGGGACAGACAACAGACACGCATCCATTGCTTCTCAGAGATAGCTGTGACAAAATTCAGGGGGGAAAAAAAACGTTTGTTTTAGTTTACAAGCACTGCGAAAGTTTAATCAAGTGAACGAGAAGCCTTCTTGCTCAAAAAAAGCGGCAGCACTTCCTAAACATATCAATTTAAAGATAACTCACAGCATCACGCCCTCCCTGACGTAGCCATCTCTTATTTTACCGCCTCGCCAGGTATCAGAGTGCAACTGTGGCAGCATGAGCGACCAGTTACAGCATGGCCTCGCAGAGACAGAAGGAAGATCATCAGTTTGAGAAAAACGTTCTTTTTTAAACAGCTATCGAACTGTCTAAGCCGCCAAAAATCATGCCGAAATATTAATTCTGTTTTGGGGAAGAAAAATAAGTGTCTTTCGACTCCAACGACTCAAGGAGCAGGTAACCCCCACATCCCCTCCCAAGTCCCTCCATCAAGCGTCAGCTCCTTCTGGACGCTCTCACGGTCAGGAAGGGCTGCGTGGGAGGAAGGTATGAAGTCCAGTGGAGAGACTCGTTTGGACAAGATAATTACAGGGATATAACTAATCTGCTGCTTCCGCCCCACCAACTTTTTTCAGCCCTCCCTCTGATCCCGCAGATTTGACTGTTCAGCCAGCTGGAACGTAACTTCACAGCAGGTTGAACGCTTCCCCTTTTGCTTGGCTTCGGCTTGAGTTTCAGCTTTGCGGGCTGATCCTCTGAAGGGGGGGGGGGGCAGAGAAGGAAGGAGCAGAGGAGAAAGTGGAATTCCCCAGAGAGCCTACGCTGCGGTTCTCACGCTGACTGCGATCACTGTGTGATCGTGGAGCAGCTTCTTACCGTTCCAAGTTTTTCCTCTCACGCAATTCTACTTTCAAATTGCAGTGAAAGCGCAGGCAGGGCCAAAACTGACACTTCTACAACATACACTTTACATAACAGAACACGTATGTGCGTGGCAGGCTTCAGCGAGCACAGTTCCCCAAACAGATGACGCGTGTCACAGAACTACCTATCTGATCGTTATATCCCTTAACATCTCAACCGCGGCTCAAGATGAGTTTCAACAGTTAAGACCCAGCCTCTTCCCACTCCAGAGATAATCTAACCAGTGCTCTCAGCACTGCAAGTCAACAAGGAGAAGAGATGGGGTTAGATGCTTTTTAGACACCAACAAGCACGCTCGTTCTCTAAACTGGAGGGTGCACAGAGAGGTGGACCTCCTGCTATCAGAGGCAGTCATGTCCTACACTCCCAGTCACACACACTGATCAAGTTTTTTCTTCAACCCAGTTGGAGTTTGGTCCCAACTAACCCTACTAAACAGCCCTTCCAGCACCTCCCTGCACTTAACACAACCATGCTTCCAGCAGTCAGATTAAGCCCATTCAAAGCCAATTCACCCTGTCAGCTCTTGGGCCAACACTGTCTTCCTACAACGATCTTCAGCCTTTCCTGGCCTTCTGCCTCCCTAGCATATTTACAGAGAGCAGCTGCCTCATGCCCAACCTCTGAAAAGTCTCTTCTGAACTATTCTCACAAAGTACTTCTGCGGCCAATTTGTATCGCAATAGCACTTCAAGACCCTGCTGGGAGATAAAGGCCTCACTGTCCCATGCACCACACAAACAGGGAGAGAGAAGACTTGGCCTGAGGAGTCATAATCCTCATCAGAGAGGTAATGCAAGAGAGGAGCATTAAAAGAAAAAAAATATATATTTATGGTTTCATAACAAAAGCACAAAAATCTGAACTCTTTCGCTGCGAACTCGATCGAGGCTTTAGAAATTGTTTCAATCCTAGCACACTGGAAGGCAACACAAATCCACTTGCTAAGATGGTTTTCCAGTCGGAGAGATGACAATATATGCCATGCCTGCCTGATCACCACCACTTTGAGCTGCTCATGGGCGACTGTCCAGCCAGCCAGCTGGCCTTGTCCTCTGCCTTAAGTGTTCTGGCAAGCTTGCACATTTCCAGCTCAGAGACTGAAACTATAGGGAGTTGCTCAAAAATGACACCGCTCTGGTCCCCATTCTCCGCCAACAATCAGCCAGGTTGCTGTGGCACATTACACGGAGTCTCTTTTCCTACTGCCATCAGGGTAACATCATTTAGGAGTATGAAAAACAGATCAAGCAAACGATCTTCTCCGAAGAACTACTTCCCTGGTTTAAAATGTCTCTCATAAACCTTCACCAAGAGGAGGAACTGGCAACTTCCTTCTGTGCGACTGTGCTGCCATGGCATTTACCAGACGTCCGTCTCGCTCGGCATGACCTTGACCTCCGTCTCAGCTGGATAGCAGAAGTTGCATGTGTACTTGGAAAATCCAAGTCCAAAAACATACAGATGTCCATGGGACACTTGAATACTCACAGCACCACACGAGTTGGGGCCCCCATTGAAGAGCGCACAGGCTATCCTCACTACTTCCGCTTCCATTTTCCTCAAACCTGGGAATATATCCGGATGGAGAGGGTTACTCCAGGCAAACTCCTCGTACACCTTGAGAAAACAGAGACAGAAAGTTAGCCTTGCAAGGCAAGCCTTGTGTTATCAGCGAAGGGGTCCAGACTTGGGAATTCACCATACGCATACAAGCAACCTAGCCCAACAAACAGCATTCAGCCTCCACAAGCCCAAGGAGTTCTGCAGTGCTAACTCCTACAGTGAGTAAATACACAAGCTGGGAAGCTACAGCTGGGCGCGGGGCGGAAGGGGGGAAACCACACATTTGTTTTTCTAGGACTTTCTGGCCTCTGGAATGCTTATATAACAAAGCAATATTGCTTGTTGTACAGACAGGTTTAACGGTTTAGCTAGTTTAAAAAAAAGATTTTTCCATTAAACCAGTATCAGATATATATAGGCACTCCGTATTTGCTTTAAACACAGTAGGCCACTATGCAACCCCAAAAACTCACTTTGCAGAACTAGTTTTAAAGGAAGACCACAGGCAGAAGAAAACAGCAGCAGCAACCACCAAGCAAAACTCCCTGCAGCTGTTTTTAAAAGCCTTGCTCCCAGGAGCAAGGCGGCTAGATTTCCCTTTCTAGCAAAATAGTTCTTGAAGTAGATATATTTTAAAAATAGACCTTTGGGCTGTTCAGGCTGTTTCCGACCTTCTCTAAGGGAAAAGCTCCCAACTAGGTAAACAGACCTAACAAAGACTTCACTGAAGCATGCCAATCCTCCATTGTTGTAGGATTTGGACCGCACGGTAATGCCAAAACACATTGCAAACTTCTTTTTTGCCTCAATCAAGAGCAATTCAGCTTTGCTCAGGAAAAAGCTGTTCCAATCCAAAATCCCACAGCACCTCTGTAATGGGATAGCCGGGTACGCTGTCACTCCAGCCTGCAGCTAAGTCACATCTATCAGATGGTCCTGCTGAAGCTGAACTACAGCAATTTTACGCCTCGCATCACACTCTGAATCAGAAGGTCGGTACCAATTTCCAGCTCACGTGTAATCAGCTTCCTGCTTTCTTACTCAAAACAACGTCTTATCTGAACGGATCCTAGTTATCTCTACACAGCATCTTCACGGTGACAGCCACCGGCCAGCTTTACACTGCCCAAATGCTGTTCTCATCGTTTCCCTTCCACTTAAGTCTACCCTAGACTCCGTCTTTGGCGCTGGCAATGTTAGTTTCAGGTCTTCCCCGTTTATCTTAAAAGACGCTGGAACAGTCTTGAGGGGGTTTTGGTCACCCTGAGGGTCCTTAACATACCTGCAGAGATGCCACATTAGACCGTTTGCACTTCTTTACCTTGACTAGTAGACGAGTGAGCTTCTCTTCACCACTGTACACAGTCCCTGAGACTTTCCCATCCTCCCAGCGTACATCTCCTGAAAGAGGAGGGAGAAGAGCACATCGCTTGCAATCACAGCCATTCCCAGAAAGCACTCAGAAGTGCACAAAGACGTCTCCCACCAGGTCTGAGGAAGAGGATTCAGGTTTTGAGACTTCACTGAGGAGAAACAAATACATTTTTTGCGCCACAGAGATAGCTTCCTAGAACGCTGCACCTCTGGCACCTTGCGCCCTACGAGCTTAGCAAACTACAAGCAAACGATGAATAGATTCAGCACATAAACAATATCTAGCTGCAGCAAGCAGTTATATCAATAAGTAATCCACTTAATCCCCGTTCAAACACCCCAAACTGCTGTCCACACAGCCGAGTTCACATTGCTAAAGTTACAGCCAGATGCAGAGAACGCCCATCAGTACTGCAAGCTGGGAAGGGAGAGAAGGGCCAAGTACGCGTTGCTAAAACCCGCAATGCAGGATGCCGCAATTAAATATCACCTAAAACTACACGCCACGGAAGCATTAGCAAACCAGAGCAGCATCAACAGTGCATCCCGTTTAACAGCCCCGCAGAGTGTTTCCACCTGTTTGGTTACGCGCTCCTCCTCCAAACCATGAGCCTCCTTCCTACAACTAACAGGCATAAGCTTCACAACCATACAGAGGGTGAACACAGTCACAGTCCAGCCCTCGCTTCCAAGTGGCATTGGAGGGGGAACGTATGACTGTGGGAAGAAGGGGGCAACAGGGGAAGGGGAAAAAAAAAGAAAAAGAAAGAAAAGAGGGAAGGAAATCATCTGAGAAAAAACACAGATGCAAGACAGACCCAAAAAGCTACAAATGCAACATAAAGAAGTAGGAAAGAAGGATGTGGTTACAGAATATTCATTCGTGAAGCTGTCCTGCTGGAGTAAAGGCATCTGAAGTCAGAAACAGCCAGTTCAAAGCATTTCTCAGATTTGGGAGAGGAGCAGGGCAGTCATCATACTCTCCCCTGGACAGTAAGCCACCCAAATTTCCAGAGTAGAAGTAACAGGTATATGAATTGGAGTGGAGATATTTACATCAGTGCGGCAACTCAAATTAAGTTTCAGACACTGCTTATGCAGACTCAAGCCAGGAGAACGTCACGGCTTTGTCTTCCTTAGAGAGAGTTTTCAAAGCACGAACCGTTATGACTTCAATTGAGAGAGACGGTCCTTGGAAATTCCCTAAAATACTGTTTGGAAGCTCTTTTTGTTACAAATATTCTTTGGGGCTTTACAGAAAACGCATTTCTGGTAAAAGCCAAACATCCAGGTAATTGCTCAAAAACGCATTCAAACTTGCATTCAAATAATTTCCTCCGCACTTCCCTTATCCTCAGCTCTCATCACCTTCAGCCTTAAAAATCTCTTGGGGAAGGGAGGGAATCTCAATGTAAACACCCAAATACAGTATCAGAAGTCAGGAATACTGTCCTTAGTCGCTTCCAAAAGGAAAACAGGCATACATTTGCAAGTGAAGGACATCAAGGAAGAAATACTGAAGATGAAACTATGAGCAGGCGTCATTAAATCTCACAGTACAGAGTAAGCCTCACGTTAGGTCCAGGAAGCAGGCCCACCTCTGTAGCAGCACTGCCTCACGATCATACCTTTTGAACTGTACTCTTTCATCTTCTCTAGCACTTCAGCCTGGCTCATGCCTTGCTCCGGCAGCACTTTGATATAATCCTTTTCATCTTTCAGGAAGGATAAACTGGAGGTGACATCATTCAAGGCTTCATCAATCTTCTTTTGAATCTAAAAAGAAAGGAAAGTCCAATCAGCAATGGGGCCGGCCACATTTTACATAGTTTTTCCGTGCCTGCAAGAGCAAGATCACTAGCGGGAATCACTCTGCTGAGAGAAACACGACTAGGAACTCGTTCGGCCCTCTGACCAAAACCATAGCAGGGATCACAGCCGCGCAGCTGAACTCGTCCTCCCTACCTACCTCTCCCTCCAAAAGCAAGCTGCCACGTCCAAAATGCCTACGGGAACGGTCACACGCTAGTCTCTAAAGCGCATCCGAGCCGTCAGAAAGCGCCAGCCGGTGCGGCCCAAAACTATGCCAACCAACCAGCACGGACGACCACAAAGCGGTGCTTAGGCCACAGCTTGGCTGCATTTTATTTAACAGCACAGTCACCATCACCACATTCAAAGAGAATATCTTCTTTAGGGAGTACCAAGGAGCAGTGGGAGTTTTAAGCCTCTTTAACCCTTGAGGAGGAAAAAAAAAAAAAAGCTTAAGGGAAAAATACGGCATTTTTATCCACAGAACCTTTTTAAGCTACTGTTCTTCATTTGTAGAAGTCTTCAGACAGGTTATGTTTTGTACCTTGTGTCCTCTACCATCCCATATGCAATTTAGAGACTTAAGAAAACACAGATGTGCGTTAAAAAAAAACTCCATTACAGACAGAGTTAAGAGATTTCTTTCTTCCGACCCACACCTTACACTCCAGAGGCCCAGATTTCTTCTCACAAGACATTCTTGCACAGAGGCTCTCCTTCCAGAGCCACTAGACAACACAGCTGTGGGGATGTTATCAGCTTTAAAGACTTTTGGACATTGAAATGCCTCAAAGTCAAGGCCTCCTGTACGCGACTGATAGGATATCACGTACCAGCCGGCCAAAGAGTGGGAGCAGTGCACAGACAGGACACGCCAGGAGTCCTCTGGCACAGGAGAGCGCAACGGTGCTACCCTGGGAACATGAGTACCGTACACAGGGACCCCAGAAATTGTCCTGTTCTAAACGGCAGAGAACAAATATAAGCAGAAGAGTTCAAGTCATTAATACGCCTGATCAAGGGCTGCTCAAGCCAGAAGGTGAAAGTCGGGGCACTTAACCTCAAATAAAGGGGAAATGCTAGTCCCTTATCGAGGGAGAAACTTGAGAACTGCCTCCACATCAGAGACCACAAGGAATAGCTCCTACTACCATTTGATAAGATGGCCTATGACAAACCCGCCCCCCGCCAAGTCAATGCTTAAAGACGTCTACACATCAAGCAGAAGGTCAGTCAGTAGGTACGACACCATCATTTACTAGGTAAATGAAACCAAACTGTGTGTTAATGATCAAGAAATAAGCGCTAAAAAAAAAATGCTGAAATTTGTAGTTCCAAGTTTTCCTGTAAAAAACATCTCCCAGACACTAAAGCCTGTCTCATTTTAACGATTACACAAACTCCTGATATCTCTGTGCTAAAATACTAACTGTTGCTATCAGATATCTGAGCTCTCAACTAATCACAGCCAGCTATCAAATAAAAAAAAAATTCATCCTTCTGTGCGGCACAACAAAGGCCTGGCTATTTCACACTTGCTCAAGAATAAACATGTTTCAGAACAACAACCCAAGTTCAGTCCCGTCCCGTTCTTCCACGCATCAAGTTATTTTCTTGAAAATCAACAAGGAGAAAACATCACTGGCAAATTCTGTGACTGCACTCGCTGATTATTGGCTAAAGAGGTGGCACCCCCATTTTCTGAGAGTGATACTGTTACAAAAAGACCAGGGAGAAGTTTTATTTTTTATCAAACCAGGTGACAGCCAAAAACCTTCCAGATACATATCCTCGGAACAGTACGATGACAACATGGCAGTTCAGATGCAAAGAACTAAGTTCTCCAAGTCAGAGCTACACAGGCTGAGACAAGGACCCGAGATAATACTAAGAAAAGCTGCTGAAATACTTACTATGGCCCCGACAAAAGGCATCTTCCTCAAGAGTTTAAAGAACTGTTTTTTAGTTCGGGATGTTAAACCTGAAAGAGAAACGTCAGCAGTTAACGTAGCAAGACTCAAGAAAGCAAACACACTCCGAGCACAGTACTTCTGATACAAGCCGTGATTCAGCTGTAGCATTTCTGGTCCAAGCGACTATAACACAGAGAGCAAGGGGACACAGGGAGACAGATGAGCGCGTCAGAAAGCAAGGTTCAGACACGTACCAGGCCACAGAAAGAACTGGCTTGCAAAATAGTAGCTGCCTATGAGGATCGACATTTGTCTCACTTTCTTACTTCGCTGCTAAGGCTGCTGCATAAAGGCAGGCAACCTAGTAGGGCTAAAATCTTTGCTTCATTAGAGCCAGAAGAACACTTTTTGAAATTATTTTGCATCTTCAACTCAGGATAGTACTGCAACATCAACACACTCAGAAACGCAAAACAACATTCCCAGCCCAAAGGAGGAAACAGCAGCCCAGCTGGAAGGGGACCAAGTTTTCTTCCGGTCTCTGGCCATTCGACATAGGTGCCGGATAATGCTACGGGCAGCGTTTCAGCACCCACTGCTCAGGGGAAGGGGAGAGAGGGAGAGAAATTAGAAATCCCACCACAGGCCAAAGACTGAAATGGGAGAAGCCAGTTACGATGAACACCGGAAAACTCCTGGGGTAACTTTAAAGGCAGGAACGAAAACAGGATGAGAGAGCTTCTTTTGCCACCAAAAATGCCTTTTGAGTCCTCCAAGCATTGCAGCTAATTAGAGAACACTTTCACCAAAATATAATTAAACAAACTTTAAAAGCCAGCCTTTTAAACATTTCACAATCTTAACTACAGCATTAGCCTGCCTTTTTTTTTTTTTTTAAAAAAAAAAAACCCTCAGGTGTATTTTGAAAAGCTGCAGGAGAACAGTAGTCGCAGTCTGGCACATTCTGTAGGAAATATTTAATGCTCTGGAAATAACATTTCTACTGCAAACACTGTGCACAAACAGTTTAAACAGGAACTTCCACGCTGAAAGACGACTTACAGTTACTGTAAACTCCTCAAAAATTCAGACCATATAATCAGATTTCATGCCATTAGTTAATATTTTAAAAAAATTAAATTACATAACTAAAAAAAATACCACGCAACAGTACAAACATCAGCCAAGAAGCTAATATAACACTGTACTGAGCAAAAGCTTCATATCATTCTGTTCCTTCCACAGATGCTCCCCCTATTCAGCTACTCCTGCCTTTAAAAGAAAAAAGTCTGCTGGGGAACAGAGAAGCACAGTTAAAAATCAAGTTAAAACACTGAGTTTAAAACATGGCTTTTTTTTTTTTTTTTTTTAAACCAAGCTGCCACTAGAGTGCAACCCTACGGCGTGTGGGATCTGCAAAGCACCATTGCCTCCTCCGAGAGCAATCGAGCATCTCTGACCATCCCACAGCCACAGCAAAAACTGCAGGCTTATCAAAAGAGCTGTCAAGAGCAGAAATCGCTCCAAGCAGAAAAAGGCTCCAAAAAAACAACCACACACAATTATCTTGAGCATCCTGAGCACGAAACATGCTTCCAACACCAAATCAGAAGCAGGTCTCCTCCTTGGGCTGAGGAACGATCAAGAGCTAGAGCTACCCCGACATTTTGCTCTAGCAACTACATTCACAGAGACCCCAGCTCTCAGATCGTTTTCCCCAGGTTTTGAGCCAGAAGGGAGTTATTTGGCAGGAAAATGGCTTTGCCAGAAGCTAAAGGGAGACAAAAGGCAGGGGAGAAAGAGAGGCACATTCCAGGCAGGCCCACCACACCCTTCGAAGGAATGGGGAAGTTGCATTGACCAAACAAGCCTTGACCCCAATTTGGCAAAGGTTTCATTAATACTAACCAGTTGACAGCAGAAGGCGCATTTTAATAGCCGTTTGGTCTCTTTGTTCCCCTCTTTC